TGACACTGATAAATAAAGTGTTCACTGGCGTGCACATTTACGTGCTTAATACTATGTTGCACACTTTCAATTCAAATGTTTGACTGGGTATTTGAATACTACCAGACTAGCCCGTCCGCACCTATCTCTCCCGTCCCCTCCCACCTCCCCACTCCGTCTGTGAGCGGGCTAGTCTACCTTTTCAAAACTACGGGGCAGAGCGGCCACCCTGTATAAAGTGTTTAGCAGTAAAGTTGAACACTTACAAGTGTTCAACACCAGGGTTGTTGGCTATGGAGCTTTAGACACATTAAAGTGTTCAAATTAACTGTTGAACACTTCGAAGTATTCAAATATCCTGCCGAACACTGAAAAGTGTGAACGCGCACGCCAGTTGAACACTTATCAGTGCAAGACTCGCGTTTTTTTTTACATTCACCTTTGGAGTCGATGGTTAATCCAGTGACGCCGGGCAGCGAGCACAGCTTCGGGGAGAAGTGGTAGCGCAGTCCGTTGTAACACGGCCCTATAATGAAATGAAGAAAGTTTGTGAGAAGCAAACGACTACACTGTAATTTTGGGGGTGTTTTAAACGTATACGCGGAAAGGCGTAGGCAATACCAACGGCATATGTTCCAGGACCTCCGAACGACATTTGGCGTATACTTTTGAGACATCTTTTGGAGTAGTATAGATTCTAGACATCTGAGCCCATACTACTCCAACGGCACAGCCCCAGCTTTGAGCATGGTGTACAGGACGTGAGCGCCTTTCAGAGTAAAGGCCTCTGCTGCGCCGTGGAAATGGTATAGGCATAAATGTCTAGAATCTCTATACCCTAAAAGATGTCTCAAAAGTGTACGCCAAATGTCGCTCGGGATCCTGTAGCAAACGCCGTTTTGGCGTAAGACTCATACATTTGAGACACCCCAAATTACAGTGTAGGAGTGGGAGAGGGGTAGCATGGTGTGGTGGATGGGCCACCCGTTCGAGATGGCTACTCTGCAGGGGGGGAAGGGGGGGGGGCGAGAAAGAAGAAATTAGCAAGGATCAACAACAAGTTACGCACGCCGCCGCCGCCGGGTACATGCGTACCGCTCGTGACGTCACCCGCGCGAGGTCATAAACTTGAACCTGTCTGCAGCCGTGACCCTGCCGGCCAGGGACCCTCC